GGAGATAACAGCCTGCCTCAAAGTTTGTTGTTATCTGGAGGTCTTTGGGGAATATACTATTTCTTTTTCATTAATAAGGAGCCCTAGTGGAACTGTGGGTTAGATGTGGGGCTGTTAACCACAAAGCCAGTGGTTCAAACCCATCAGCTACTTCAAGGGAGATAGATGAGACTGCTCCAGACAGATTTACAGTCTCCAGAGCCCTGCCGAAGGTGCAGTAAGTCAGAATTGGCTGGGTTTGATTTAGTTCTAATAAACAATTCTTAATCTTGCTACGTTCATGCAAGATGCAAATAGACACAGTGTGAGTGGTTGCTGCGTGTGTTCATCTGGATTAGCTGGAGAAACAAAATCAGTGACAGAAACTTGTATCAGGAAAATGGCTCACATGGTTGTAGAACTGGGTAAATCCCATGAGATGTCAAGTCCATGGGCCAGTTGTTCATTGGCTTGACTCTTGAAGCTTTAAGGACTGATTAATTAGGATCAGCAGGCACACCACAGGCTGCAGAGGCAGCTGAATCCAAAGTGAATGTGTCAAACTTGTGACTGAAAAGGTCAATGCATCCAAGGTCTGCAAGGCAGATGGTAAGCCAGAGATGGCTCACAGAAACAGCAGGCAGTATTGCAGACAGTTGGCTCAAGTCCAAACAACTGTCGTCGATGAACCAGGTGCAAGATCCAGACTGAGTGAAAAAGCAAGTAGGCTTCCCCGCAGCGTCCAAGTACATAGGAATTAGGCCCCACCCCTCAGAAAATTTCCTTTCAATTGCATCAGAACGGTGACCTCTGTGAAGGGGTTACATTCCAGTCCAATCCTCCCACAATTGCTTGGCTGCTCACAGCAGATCCTACCGTGGAGTTGATTATATTATATTAGGTCACATCATGGGAGATGACCAGGCCAAACCACTAAGACTTCTAGCCAAGTGGACACAAAACCTAACTATCACAGTCCATCCCTTATCCGGTTGACACCTGTACGGAACTCAAAAACCAAATTCACTGCCATTGAGTCCCTGTTGATTCCTAATGACTCTATAGGACAAAGTGGAACTGGCCCTATGGGTTTCTGAGACTGTAAATCTTTATAGGAGTAGAGAGTCTCATCTTTTTTCTTTGAAGTGCCTGGTTGTTTTAGACTACTGACCTTGTGACTAGCAGCCTATTGCATAAACCACTACACCACCAGGGATCTTTGGCACCCATGCCCATTTAATCTCCAAAAAAATATACTACTAAAGTCAGACTTGTACCTAAAATGATACCAATAACACAGATATAACTGAAAGCACACCCCATTTACATCTTTTATAAGTGAACAGAGTGAAAATATTGGATGCATATGTACAAGGAGAAAATACTCATAACAAGTACCATCCTCATTTCTGCAACTGATCCCATGGCTGTAAGTGGTATTTAAGACAACCTTCTTCCACCACCAATTCAGTATGCCCTTGACCCTCAGCAAGTGCATCAGCTGGTTATGGTTCTTTGGCTGAAGGGGTGACCCAAAACTTCATTCCTGAAAGGTCAGAGCCATTAGTAGCCATGTCAGAATTGGATTGCTGTGGTTTACCATTGGCTAATCACAGGGCACGGCAAGACTAAAAGACATCCTAATGAATCACCTGGATTCCAGATAGTGTTTTCTTTTCTTCCACTGTGTAATACCAATCCAATTTCCACTTGATCACCAGAATCAATTATACCACTCAGCACAGTAACACCCTTCTTTGTCTGTCAATCCAGAGGCTTGAGGAGCCCCAAAAGGCGAGGAGTCACTTAACTTCCAGTTCAATGGAATCAGTGCTGTGTCTCCAGATAGGTGTAGTCTTCCCTTTGAAACTAAGACCTCCTGACCCAAAGAGGATATGGTTACAGAGATAGGAAGCAAAGATGTTTCCGGTGGGTCACTAAGAGTAACACTGAGTGGTGTCATCCCCTTTCTCACCCCCTTGGTTCTTGGACCTGTGAATCCTGGCTATTGGCAAAGCAACACCATCTATTGCACACTGGTTTAGAGAACAAGGACAAAGTATATCAATAGATAACAGATCTCTGGTACATTTTGAGAGAACTAATTTGTACATTCATGTCTGCTGAACCAGCAACTCCAGCCAAGGCGGGCAATAATGCTCTTTGCCATAATGCAAGCATAAGGGTCTGCTCTTGGGCACCTTCTGGTAAACCAGCAATAGGACCTTCAATCCCAGATGAAGCCTCAAAGCAAGGAAGTCCAGATAAGTCAACCAATTGCGATGAATTCAACCAAGTTACTTTTTTAACTATAGAACATTTATGTACAGAACTCTGTCCTAAATTTTATAAACAATAGTACTTAGAACTTTAACTTTAAAATATGTTCTGCATGCATGCAGACACAATCTTACATACAATTAATATTACTAACATTTATTCACTTGTTTGTTTTTGTCTCACTGCCATAGAGCCCATGCCAACTCACAGTGACCCGGAGGACTGGGTAGAACTGCCTCTGTGGGTCTCTAAGACCGGAACTCTTTACAGGAGTAGAGAGCCCTGTCTTTCTCCCACAGTACAAGAATAACTAATAATTTAATATAGCACAGACATAGCAAATGGCACAGAAGGCTGGAAAGAATTAATATTTCTCAAACATGAAAAGTTTCAATTTAGTAGCAAATGAGTTTTTTTAATTGTCTGTTGCATGGGACATGGTGCTTGATATTGCTCACTTGTTCACTTATAATTTTAGCATTTATCATGAAATAAGCATCAAAACTGAACTGTGAGCCACTTAAGGCAAAATTTTTAAAATAATTTTATTGGGGGCTCTTACAGCTCCGATGGCAATCCATACATCAATTGCATCAAGCACATTTGTACATATGTTGCCATCATCATTTTCTAAACAGAAAATCAATTTTCATTGTAGGAGATCAACAGAACGTTATATTGATTGTTGAAACAAGTAACCTCATGGATTCATCTTCCTTTTTGTAGACTATATGGACTATCTGTTTAGTACAAAATGTGGAATATAGTAAAAACATCTGCACCGTGCATGCACTAGAAGTTTTATAATCTAGTTCATTTCATTCCACTAAAATGGCATCAACCACTCTTGAGTTCAAATGTTAATATTATAGTCACATTTTAAAAGAAATAATATCATAAAGAGCTAACATACATATACACATATATGTATTATATATCACATTCAAATGTCTGAGTAAGCAAAAGAGGGACACCACAGATTATCTGTGTTTAAGGCCCTCACACACCTTAATCCAGCCTGCCCTAGACTCCTCTTTCTCAGTTAATACACATGAAATTAGTAGAACATCCTCTCTTCTAGTGATCAGATCCTATTCAGAAAATACAACGGGGTCATATCCTAAACTCACTGCCATCAAGTCAATGTTGACTTATAGCAACCGGATAGGGTAGGATAGAACTGCCTCTGTAGGTTTCCAAGATTATAATTTTTTACAAGAGTAGAAAGCCTCCTCCTTTCCCATGGAGCAGTTGGTGATTTCAAACTACTGGCCACCTGGCTTGCAGCCCAATTCACAATCCACTAAGCCATCGGGGCTACGTTGGATTATATCCTAGGATTTGGCTTGGATAGATAGACCTGGAAATCTGTGTCTATCATTCTATTATTCTACTTCTTAACTCACCACTCCACTTTGATTCCTCTTTTCTCCTTTCTCTCTTTTTCTTCTCTCTCTCTCTCTCTCTCTCTCTCTCTTTCTCTTTTCACTGTACCTTACACTGGGTCTGTGTCAAGCAAGAACCCTCCATGAAATTCAACTTTCCAAACAGAGTTTATGCAAATTTACTTTTGAGAAAACCATAGAAACATCTGCCATACTCTACAATTTAAGATTTAAGTAAAATTTAAGAAAGTTGATGTTTCATTCCCTTTAAACTCTCATTGTGGAAAAATTCAAACACGAGCAATGAAAATAGGATCATGAATTGCCCTGTGTCCATTACCATATGCTCCAGCAATTACCAACTCATGGCCAACTTTATTTCAGTGTTTAATTCTCCTCTGGGTCTTTGTACTTCCAACTTTCCTATATACTTTGTACATGCAAAGTTCTGATTATTGGTAGATGTTTGTTGCCAGTTTCTTCTCTTTGGGATCAGGCCCCATCAGCAAATAAAGGTCCTACCAAAAAACCTGCCCCTACAGGCTTTACCCCATCTAACCCCAAGTAGTCAACTACTTTTGTCAATTGTCTAAGAAGCTGAGGGGAAGAATTCAAGATGAATTGTTGGTAGTTCCCATCCAGTCCCTTCCAACTATGATGAAAGCTGGCGTGTGCATTACCCAATTGACATTTGAAATACCAGTGGCATAGCTCCCAGCATCAGAGCAATATTCAAGCTACCAAAGCACAACAGGCTGATGGCCAAGTGATGGAGAAATTCTTTGGCACTCTCCAGTGTCTGCAATGGGTGGAGCTCCTGAGACTATAACCCTTAGACACCCTTCCAGCCTGGAGCTAACCTCACCCCATCAATAGACAGGCTTACAAAGTGAACAATATTACCAGAGAAAACGTACTCATTAGAACGACCAACCATACAAAAGCAAGAGTGCACCCTTGAAGCAGAAACAAAAGACAGAAGGCAGGAAGGGGTATAAAAAGAAGACTGAGTGGTAGTGGGGAACACAGGGAATAAGGAGTGCTGTGGCATTGTGGAGAGAGTAATCAATGTCATGAAACAAACACAAAAGATGTATAAATTATTGAATGGAAAGCTAATTTGCTCTGTAAACTTTCACCTAAACCACAATCGAAAGTTTAAAAAAAAAATACAATTAACAGAGAGAGTTAAGTGAGAGAATTTATATAAAGTTCATCTGGAATATAAGCATTCTGGGCGTGGTGGGGATCAGCATGAATAATGATGAATCATCAGTCTAATTGAAAGCAAGCGTTGAGCTTGATAAATTAGAATAAAATTCTGCGGTCATTGGCCTCATCTAATTGCATGTTGCACTGCCAAGAACTTAGGGTGCTAAAAGTAGTAGAGACTCATGGGATGAGAAGCCACACATGTTACTTCCCACTGCATTCACCTGTAGAGTTTCCTTTGAAACCATTCAACTGGCTTCCTGCAATCACTTACCTCCAGCCGGAGTCTTTGAGATACCATGCCTATTTCAATGCTGACAAATACAATTCGATTTGAGCCATCCGGTTCTGCCATGATGAAGGCACGGCTGTACAGCTTCGTGAGGAGCCCCCGTGCATTCTGGCCAGCTTTGCCATAGCCCATCTAAAGAGAGAGAGAGAACCAGAGCTGTTCTACTTCACTCGTCTGTACAACCACACAAACTCAAAAACCAAACTCCCTGCCTTGAGTCAATTCTGACTCCTAACGAACATATTGGACAGGGTATAACTGCCCCTGTGAGTTTCTGAGACTCTAAGTCATTATGAGAGTAGAAAGCCCCATCTTTCTCCGATAGAGTGGGCCAGTGATTTTGAACTGCTGACCTTGAGGGCCACAGACCAACACATAATCACCATGGCTACTCACAAACATCCAAGAAGAGGTGAATTACAAAAGGCAAAGGTGAATTACAAAAGCCATATGATACTGTGGCTCCGTGTGAGATGATCTATGTGCTTTCAGTAATGAAATCGAAACATTAAGATTTGAATCTTATGCATAGAAAAACATCAGGTCAATATATCGATCAGGATGACCAAAGCTATTGACTGGCCTATGAGCAAGGAGGGCGCTGAGTGGTTCAGAAAATCCATGATCATATTGGATTTGGATTTTTTTTGGTGGTGTGGGGGTGTGTGTCTTTCTATGCTTTTAAATAGAAGCCTTTCCCCTACCTACCTAAAGCACTACAGAAGGAAAGATTTCCCCTGCCCTCACCCCATGGAAAGCACCTTCATTTTAGTTGTTTGGTGTGTGATTTTTTTTTTCCTGAAGAAAATGGTGATCTTTGCTGGGAATATTTCAACATGTTTTTCTAGCATGTTGTCCCTTCCTAAGTCAAATCAAATAAAATATATGGGACTTCAAAAGTTTGTAGGAAAAATGGAATTGAGAAATCATGGGAAATTTCTACCAAATTTAGGAACTCCCCTCATATACCTGCACCAAACCCCTTCTCTCATCATCACATAAAACTCAGAGTTATTCTTCCATCTTGAGAATATTCCTTCTACCACTTACTTTACCTTCATTTAGGTTCACATTCCAGGGTTGATTTTGAAAACAGACAGCAGGGAATCCTTCCTGGAATTGCGGTGTAGTGGTTACTATTGGGATGTTAACCCCAAAAGTCAGCAGTTCAAATCCACTATCTGATGTGCAGGAGAAAGATGAGACTTTCTACTCCTGTAAAGAGTTACAGTCTGGGAAGCCCCGAGAGTAGTTTAACTCTGCAGGTCGTTCTGCATCAGAATTGACTTAATGGTATTGAGTGTGGTTGTTTGGGGGATAGTTGTTGGTTGGTTTGTTTTTGTGGTAAGTGAGAAAACCAGTTGGACAACCTCATACTCTCATTTCCTAGGGAAGGATTGATATAAATCAGCATTTCCACCATCAT